TCAAGGTCAAACTGCTAATATCATAAAATAGATCTTTTTAAACCCTACAACTTTTGTATTTAACATTTTTTTATACAACGCTTTGTTTTCGAGATATTCAGGTGTTCCGGTATATAATATTCACTCTGTATATACACACGCACATACATGTGCACGCACGCACGCACGCACGCACACGTTTTTGGTAAAAATACGGCTTTATTGTGAAAAAATGGTTACAAATTGATCATCCAAAATATTATCCATCGCTAGCCACTACTTTTTCCCATCTTTCTGGTAATAGGTGGATTCCACGTCGAGAGAACGATACATCTTTTGAGGCTATCCACGAATCGACCCATTTTTTGGTAAGAAAGGAAGCGTTGCTCAAACAGGCCATGAGTCATCCATCGAAATATGTGGTAATCGAAAGGCAATATCTGGAGAATACGGTGGGTGTGGTAGGACATCCCAGTTAAGCGCTTCTAACGTTTCCTTGACCGGTTTCGCAACATGTAGTCGAGCGTTGTCGTACTGGAAAATCACTTTGTCGTGTCTTTTCGTGTAATCTAGCCGTTTTTGCTTCAATGCTCGGCTCAATTGCATCAATTGTTGTTGGTAGCGTTCCCCAGTGATGGTTTCGTTGGGTTTGAGCAGCTCATAATACACTACACCCAGCTGATCCCACCAAATACAGAGCATGAGCTTGGCGCCATGAATATTCGGCTTTGCCGTCAATGTTGATGGTTCGCCTGGCCTGCACCATGATTTTTTGCGCTTCGGCTTATCGTAGCGTATCCATTTTTTATCACCCGTTACGATATGTAAAAAACTTTTTCTTCTGTGTCTTTGAAGCAACAATTCACAGATCATTTTGCGCCTTTCGACGTCCCTCGGCTTCAACTTGTATGGCACAATTTCCTTGCTTTTGAATCATTCCAATGACCTTCAAACGTCTGGAAATCGTTGATCGATCAACATTTAATGATTTTGCAAGTTCTTCTTGCGTTTGACTCAGGTCTTGATCGAGTAAAGCTTCCAACTTCAAACCTAATCTTCAAAGTTTTTCGGCTGGCCTGGACGTTCCTTGTCTTCCGTGTCAAAATCACCTCTTTTATAGCGTCGAAACCAATACTCACATGTTGAAATGGAGTATAATCACAATAAGCTTCCGACAGCATTCGGACAGCATTGATTTTCAGCAGCATTTTTCTTCAAGTGGAAGCAAAAAAGCAAAGCTTCCCGCAAATTGCGTTTTGTTAGCACAAAATTCGACATATTCAATGCTCAAAAAAACAATGTTGTTTACACTTCGGCAAAATGACACATATTGAAAACTAGAGCAATATGATGATGCTTTGACATAAAGGTAGCAACAATATGGCCCGAAGCGATATAGTACTAGTTACGCTATCTCTTGAAAATCCTTTAAAATTAGTGCACACTCCCAATATATATATATATATATATATATATATATATATATATAT